GGTTTAGAAGGCGAACCGTTCACGAAGAGCCAGACTCTTCAAAGGTTTTATGGGGGGTAAAAACATCAGAGAGAGGAAAAGAAGTTTGCCGTTGAAGAATAAATTAAACGAGGACCTTAGGAGGCCACTGAAATAATTGGCAGAACTCGTTGCTTGCCTCTAGCACCTTGGACAGCTCCCGCTTGGGAGCGACAGGACAGAGTGAAGGACATGGCGGGAGAAAAAATCACACACTAAAAAAGACAGCAAAAGCTACCAGTTGTGGATTTCTATCCCAATTGCTTCTTTTCTTCCTTACAGGAAGGCAATATTTCATTTATTTAGATTTCCCGTGTCTAAATACCTTTGTTATAAATTCATGTAGACCTCCCATGTCTTCTAAAACTATAAGATTACTCCACCCCTTGAGTTTAGTGGTAGAGACTTAGAAGGAGAATATATTCTGCCATTTTTGAAGACTGCCCTCAAATCTCTGATCATACAGATAATAACTACTTTTGTTATTATTTTCAAAAGGGAAATTCATATCCCATTTTTAAAATGGCTTCTGCATAAAATGTATTGGCTGTCATTTTAGGGTTTTTTTCTGAGTTATATTCATGTATTACAAGTCTATTGTAAACATTATTATTATTATTATTTTGCTAGGGTAATGTGATACGTAGTATAATAACTCATGTCATACTGTTGGATAACACAATTTCTCCAGCAGGCTTTGTGATTTGTTCACAGGCAATTCAGTATGTGGTTCTAAGCTTTAAAATAATCATTCAGAGAATATGTGTTTTATGTGTCATTGGCTAAAAATAAGAAAGTGTTTTCTTGACCAAACTTTTTGGGAAATGTTACAGAAATTTTCTTTTTTTCCAAGCTATAAAATAATAGTTTTTAGAAGCATTTCTGTTGTGATGATGATTGCTCTGTAGAACATGAAAACATAATTAGCCAGTGGCATCATAAGTAAAATGCTGTCTGTAGCCCCTCCCAGTTGGACCTCAAGGTTCATTTTTAAGTACATTTTGCATTATTGGTAAGTGTTTTCACTGCTATATTAGTAAAATGTTACTGAACTGTAGAGGTATATAAATTGTACCTCTGTAGGTACAACTGTATTATAAACTGTAGAGGTACATCACTAAGACTTCTTTGTCCTTTTCAGTGACAATAATAGTATCCTTCGGAACTCCTTGCCTCTTTTTTCATCCTGTGTATCTCATCTCCATTGCTAAAAGGAAAAACATTTTATATATATTTCTTGCAGTTCCTCTGGCTATATACATTGCTTCTTTGTATGCAGAATCCTTGAGCAAAATGGACATAGAATACCATTGGATAAAGAAATTTAAAATGTCTAAAGTTGTGGCATTATAGTCATAGTTTTTGTCAAAGAAGTCAGTCAGCTTAAGGAATTTGTTTAAGCTTTTCTTAACTTGAAAAAAATGGAAATATGGAGTGAAAGAGAAGTATATAGCAATAGCACTTAAACTTATATACCACTTCACAGTGCTTTACAGCCCTCTCTAAGTGGTTTACAGAGTCAGCATATTGCCCCCAACAATCTGGGTCCTCATTTTACCCACTTCGGAAGGACGGAAGGCTGAGTCAACCTTGAGCCTGGTGAGATTTGAACTGCCAAATTGCAGGCAGCCGGCAGGCAGCAGAAGTAGCCTGCAAAATTAATTATTCAATATCAATATATGGAAAATATTATCTGTAACTTCTTCTCAAAAGGTATATTAATCATAATCTGAGCACACCTGCATGTATGAATATAGATTGGTTTTACTTGAAAAATAAAAACTGCATGGTTTTAAATCAACTTGACTATCAATTATCAATTTCTTCTTGTTCTATTCTGTGGAAATAAAAATGGTACTTTAGAAAATAAATGCATGCATATAAGCTCTCACCCCAAACTCATTAAAATTATACATATAATTTTGCTTGTTTATTAGAGCATGAGATCATTTGCACTGAGGTTTTGCTTTGAAAATTTTTCAATGAACAGTTCATTCTTGTTAATGGTATTTGCACCAAAACACAGATTTTGGATTTTTTTCCCTTAATATAAAAGTATTATAGATCAGAAAGTGCAGTATGCATAACATTTTAAAAAGCTCTAGTTTCTTTATTTGTCCATACACTGATTGTGACAAGTTTCATTAATTTTCCTGTTGGTTTATTGTTTAAATTAAGAATTATTTCTGGTTATTCATAAAAATGTTCCAGATTGGGTTATAAAAATTCATTTTAGTCTTTCTTTTTTCTCCAACTCTTTCCTGTATTACTCTATATAGTTGATTTATTCACAAATTTTATTACGCCTACATGTACCACTGTAATAAAATCATACTGAAAAAAATCATTCAAGACAGCTTTTACCATGGTAACTGAAGATACTATGGGATTACCTAATATGAAACTACATATCCTAAAAATCTGATTGCATTTTTTGTCATTTCTTGGTGATCTGATACTATTGTTTAATCATAATTATAAATGTTTGTACCAATTACATTTAAAAATTGTTTTTCCTTTGGAAAATTGGTTTTCCTTTGGACTGGCAAATGATTTGTCATATTTTACCATTTGTATATTGTTCATCTGTGAAAACAGGCATCTGTTGATACTTTCTTCCTCTGTAGTTATGGCAGCTTATTTTTCCTCTGCTTTGCTGATCAATTAACTTTCTTCCTTCTGGTAAAATTACTAATGCAATTTGTTGCTGGCTGTTCCTATTAGATTTGCTCATGCATAAGACAAAGAAATGCCTTTATAAAATGATATTATGAAATGGATTCACTGATGAAGAGTATATGAATATCGACAAGTTTATGAAATCGGTTGATTTGGGAACTTACTTAAGAAATTCCTTTAGCAAATCCTGTTTTTTCTAATCCGTAGTATATCATTTTCAGAGAAAATTCATATGCCATTCTGAATGCAATCACTCTCTTGCTTGCCTTTCCATTGTCTGTGATTGGCCTGTCCACAGGTGGAACAGGACATTGTGGCTGTATCACCTGCAGATGAACTTTGCACAGCTCCAGACATTCTCTTCTCAGTTGAGAGGATTGCTTACATTGCCAATTTCATAGCAGAGAGCATTAAGTCCTCAATGTCAAAAGAGAAATGGATCCTCGGGAGAACCTGCCTCTATGAGTCAGAGTTTGGCAGTCTTTAATTTAAAACATTCTTTCTAACAAATTTTTAGAAAGGTTCTACCATGGGTTCAACTTAATGGATATATAGTCTGCCTGCCTGAACCCTTAGTATACCTCCAGAAAATATTTCTGGGTACTCATCCTAAAGCTATTATAGAGAGATTTTTTCCCAATAATGGCACTCCACTAATGGATTGTTATCCCAAGAGGGTTCATCACCTACCATATTATTTTTTTCACCCCAGATAAAGGTATTTTTTCCCATGCATTTTTATAGCCTATGCCAGACTTGATAACTGTAAGATTTGTGGGCTTCAGCTGACAGAATTCCTCAGTTAGCCATTCTGACTGGAAATTCTGAGAGTTGAAGTCCACAAAATGTTGCCAAATTTGGCGACCCTAACCTATCCATTTATAATTTTATAATGTTGGAGGAGCTGCTTTTATTCATTTTCCCACCAGTGATTATTGCAATAGTTGCATTCATTGTCCCCAATTTTAATTTTTAGTTTTATGTAATTTCAGTTATTAGAGGAATTAAAATTGAAATACATGTATGATTCCCCACTACAATTAGTCAATATTTTATTTATTTATTTAGATTTTTTAAATCCATCTTTTATTATTTTTATAATATATATACCTAATACTCCTTCCTCCTCCTACTTTTCCCACAACAATAATCCTGTGAGGTAAATTGGACTGAGATAGATGACCGGTCCAAAGTGCCTCAGCAATGGATTATGAAGTATACTGAGTTGAACTTTGCTTGTGTACATGAAATATCAATTGGACCAATAGATCATATCATAAATTGAATACATTCAAAAGCTGGGGATCTATATATGTTATGTGACATTCAGCAGTAGATGGATGCTATTGCTTAGCCAAAATCAAGTGGGAAATTTTTAATAAACAAGTTTAATAAGCAAGAACTGAATCTGTTATTGTTACATGAGCCACGAATTACTTCCTTCCCAAAGTTATATGATGAATGGACTGGATTACATCCTATTGTTAAGGATGGATTATATTGCTAGTAGTGCATGTAAATAATGCTATATGAGTTTGACTGCCTCCATGAAATGTCCACCAGGAAAACATGGGGCATTACTCAATGGCCATGATCATTGACTGCTGTTCAGAATAAATTAGATTGAGAATGTGTGCAGTGTTATAGAGAGGTATATTGTTGTTCGTGTTGATATCTCTTTCTCATTTGTGGAGGGAGAAAAGGAAATAGAAGATTGGCAAGAGGTAAGATGCTACATTAAAATGACTTATGAACTTTTGAACTAACTGCTTACTCTCCAATTAGTCTAGCGTCTAAAGAAATTCCACCTGCACCACAGACAGCAAAATTAACAATAATAAAAGATGTGTTGCCAACCCTGCTGTAGTAGTGTGTGAACTTTGTCAGATTGAATAGCCTGTTGCTAAAGTGTGCATAAATGGGTTAAATGCACAGAAAGGGCTTCATCAGTCTATGGATGAAGTGACAACGTTTGTTTGGGTTATTAATTGCCTTAATAACCCGAACAAACAATTTCCCAGAGCAGATTGCCAGTGAAAAGGTTTTGATATATCACTACTTCAAACTAGTGCAAAAATAATCATCCTATGCCCTATTTACATGGACAAATATGATTCTATGATAGCAAAATCAACTTTCAATTAAGTGTAAATATCATTTCCTAAAGGGTAGCCAGGTTATTTGTTGCAATAAAAACAGGGTTGGACATATGACAGTACTTTAAATGCATTATCACTGAGATATTTTCTTCTGCAATAGATAATTGTGCAAATAATAAACCTTATGCTATATGCTAATCTTTAAGGTTAGTCTTTGTTATTATTGGCCTTGTTAACCTAACAGTGCTAACAGTATTTATAGACCAACAGTACAATTATTACAATTTTATAGGCCAACTTAGCACAGAATTCTCTGGGTGTCTTACAACAAGAAATAACTGAATAATTTAAAGTACAACAATAACAGAGACAGTAAAAATTAAACACAGTTGTGGTTACTAACACCAGCTTTAAAAAAAAAACAGCTAGAGAAACTGGTGTACGAAAATTTAAAAGGAAAATGTATTTGTCAGGCAGTTAACTCTCTTGCCCCAAAAATATTATTCAGTCCAACCTTTAGTGAAGAACCAAGTGCTATAATGACAGAGGGCTTGTGCAAATCTAGAGAACTTGTTGGCTATAATTCAGTTGGATAGAAGTAAAGATGGACAAATAATTATATCTCTCTGTCCAACTTTCTGGTTTGAATTCAATATATTTCAGAATTTTTTGCCAATACAGTAACTACTTCATGCGGTATTCATGACTATTGCTACTCAAAAAAAGAAACCCCAAACATATTATTCCATCCAAAACTACAAGAGGTTGTCTCTAAGATATGACTAAGGATTGATGATCCCAATGCAAGAGTGATGCAAGTTGCCATGTCCATCAGGTATGTAACACCTGGTCTTTCCTTGTCCTGATGCAACAAGCCATCCTCTTAATAAGTCCATATACAATATTATGGCCATCCATTGCCCATTCAAAGGACAGTTCATGATAGAAGAAAGTAATAGAACATCAGAGCAAATTTTTATCAATATTGAATAACATTAGCTATCAATATTATGAACTTTGAAATTCTCTAGAGGTTCTAAATTCAACACTTTGGAAAAAGTGGTTGCACATTAAAAAAGGAATTAATCTGTTATAGCAGAAAAACAAAATTTTATCTAGAATTGCTGTTCTATTGCTAGTCAAAATATAACTCATAGGAGGTTGGAAAAATACAATGCATATTTACTCTGAACCCTGATATAATCTGAAGAATTTGAGGATGATATTTTCATAGTGATGAAAATATCAGGATCTATGCTAGGTTCTGTCATTTGAATGTGATTGCCTTCTGATTGCCATATAATTAAAAATATGGAGGCTGGTGCTCCTTCTCTATCATAGTTTATCTGAATAGGGCTGCCTCTTTTGCAGCTAATTATTCTGATTGCCTACTTGAAAAGGGATGTGACATCTGAACCCACTATAAGAATAAACTTAAAAACAAGAGTAGTGAGCAGTTAATCTGGTTTAAATCAAAATGTTTCAGGGAACATCTATAAAAGGAAATCACATCCTGTTTTAGATAGCAAGCACAGTGATTCACTTGAGATTCTGTTGATCTTCACACTTCACACTTCTTTTATACTCTTCCGATTAAACTCATTTTCATGGTTCAGTGCTTGACTATATTCACAGCTCCAGTAGACCTGCAATAAACTCAACCATATTGCTTCCGGGTTTTGCCTGAAATCACATTTTAGTTATTGGTAAATATGAATGGATTTAAAATTTAAGAGTCTTAGGTGCTATATTTATTAACAGGAAAGAATTTTATGGATCAAGTATATGACATACATACTTCCATGAAAAAAGTCTGCAAACATTTTTCCCACAAGTCAGTTTGGTATCCTAGTAAAGAAAAACTATGAATGATACAGACATTGTTTCAGTGACTGTAGAAACATGAAAGGCTTTCTTATATTGAAGAAATATAAGTCAGTAATGGTCAGAATTGTCTGATTCATTAAGTTTGTTAACATATTGTGCTAGGATATAGTTTCAATTTGCTTAATGTATGAACAAAAATGAATTATACTGGTCTAAGCTACAGTTTATAGCATGTTATGTTAACCCTGCCAATTCTGCCCTATTTAACAAACTATATTAAAGAATTTATGGTTAGCACAATATTCTAAGCAAACTATGTCTGCCATTGGCTTGCCTAAATGGTAGAGCTAATATTGATAACCTGCCCTAATCCCAGAGGACTCTGGGTGGTGTAAAGAAATGTAATAAAATAAAAATGCATAATCATAAAACTAATAATAAATGATAAAATAAAAAATAAAGAAGATTAATGTCTCTACTCAGAATTCTTTGGAGCTATAATCTTGCATCATTAAATTGATTGGTTTGAGGCTTTGATTCAGGCTGTACATATTTAATAGGGGAAGTCCAACCCATAATCCACAAACCTCATAGAGTGGTGACCGGTGTGTGTGTGTGTGATTTTTAACAGATCCTCTCTAAATAATTGATCCAGTCATCTAGAAAATCAAAGATCTGAAAGAATACTTAAGCTTGTTGTTTTAAAAACCATCTATTCTAATCTAAATATCTAACATTAAATATATTTCACTGGAAAATTTCTCTGATGAGGTTTTTCAATTTTTTTTCGAGATCATTCTGATAATTGGCACAACCCAATTATAGCTCTGTGGGATCCCAGTGTCCATTCTGTCTCATTGCAGGTGGGAAGGATGAGTGCGTATGCTGACATTTATGCATCAAAGCAGGGACAACAGGGTTCCACAGAGGGTGGTTACCAGCGCTATGGAGTTCGCTCTTATCTGCATCAGTTTTATGAAGACTGCACAGGATCCATTTGGGAGTATGATGATGATTTTCAGATCCAGAGATCACCCAACAAGTGGAGCTCTACATTTTGGAAGGTACAGCTATTACCTAACAATTGTCTTGTCGCAGATCTGTGGAGTGTTTGATTCCAAAGGCATCACAACCCATATGCACGAATGACTGATAGGTTTTTAACATTTCCATTATAACTATTTTATGACTACTTTGCCCTAAGCGCTATGTGTGATGGAAAGGTGGGGTATTTATTTTAATAAATCAATAAATACACAGTGTATTTATTCTCAGCTGTCAATCTCCTTTTATTTTGAAAGCAGAAAACTGGAAGGCATATTAGGCCAAATGGTAGATACAAGCTATGTAAATCTTCATTAAACTCCCTGTCTTCTAAACTATCTCCCTTCAAGATCAGATATTTGAAATGAATATTAGACCAAAAAGCAGTCCTTTTTGTTTCAGAATAAATTGTCCCAAATTCCATCATTGGGAGAGTAATAGAAGGAAAACATAGCATTCAAGTTAGAAATGCAAATGTTTACAGAAAGGATATTTTTTATTAAATCAAAAGCTTATACATACTTACATACATACATACATACATACATACATACATACATACATACGTATATATTGTTTTTCTAACAAGGCACCTGGTCTACCCCAACAGGGAGCATTCTGCTTCCCTTTCGTCTTTCAGCTCCAATCCAGGAACCCTCAAGCAGTCGCATTCACGACAAACCATTTTATACCACATTTATATTTCGCTGATAAAGAAATAAAGGGAGACTAGTATAGATCTATTTCAAGCTATTTAGCTCTCATCAGCTAGCCATACCCTTAGCTGATGAGAGCTAAATAGCTTGAAATAGATCTATAGTAGTCTCCCTTTATTTCTTTATCAGTGAACTATAAATTATATATATATATATATATATATATATATATATATATATATATATACATACATACATACATACATACATACATACATACATACACACACACACAGAGTGATTTATTTATTGTTCATTTTGTTTATTAGATATGTCTATAGTCAGTAGGGTGATAAAGACCCTATTGATTTTCATGGGACTTGGATATTGATAACTATGTTGTTTATAAACAGCTAACCCTGATCTCAAAACTCTCTAGATGTGGTAAGACAGCAATTGCCAGAATTTCCACCCCAAACTTTTCCATCAGAGAATAGATTCATCTGTCAACGGGATAAAAGCCCTTAGCAACTTAAGTTTCTATAAATATCAGTGACACATTAGATACGTTTAACATCTAAGACTATAGCCACAAAGCAAAAGCCATCAGAATAGAAAATAGCCTTGTTGTTTTCTGAAATCTCTCTGTTTTTCAGATTGGACTCATCTCGGGGACAATGTTTATGCTGACAGGGATTATAGTTCTTGTAGTAGGGTTTCTGGTAACCCCCAAAATTGAAGCCCTTGGAGTAGAAGATTTTGTGGTAGTGGATTCCCATGCTGTCCAATTTAACCGAGCCCTTGATGTGTGTAAGTTGGCAGGAGCAATATTATTTTGCATTGGAGGGACCACAATGGCAGCCTGTTTACTTATGTCCGCATTTGCAAAAAGCTACTCGAAAGAAGAAAAGTACCTGCAACAGAAATTTAAAGAGAGAATAGCAGATATGAAAGTCCAGACATATCCAGTCACAAAAGCCCCAGCACCTGGAGAATCCAAGATACCCGTTACATTGTCCAAAGTTCAAAATATCCAACCATTATCTGAGACCTGATTCCTGTTCTCTCTATCCTAACACACCCTTCTTGTGAATTTGAAAAGGTGGTCTTGACTAGCACTTGAACCTGGGTTTGCAGTGCGGCAGTTCTGCACTCAGCAGGAAAAGAAGCAGGCAGGGGGGGGAAACCCCTATTTTGATAGGACTACAGGAGTGACAAGGAAGTGAAGGTTCAGCCATCATTGGTTTCAATAAAGCGTTATCATGTATGTTGTGAAGGGGTTTTTTTTAATGTCCACAGAACCATTTAGGTTCTCCCTTCCAGAACATGGTTCATTCTTCTCTATTTAGCTCATCCTTGTTACATATTTTATTCCTTATTTAAATAATGAATATGTCTGTCTGTTTAGTGTGAACAATTTAAATTGTGTCCTGTTCAAAAAGAATGGTCAGAGTCCCACAAAAACTCTGAGTGTGCATGTATCAGAGAGCAGAAAGCAGGCAATTTCTGTTTCTATTCCTCTGGAATAGAATTACGTTTATTCCCCTGGAGTGCAAGCAGAACCACACCTTATGCAAACATAAAAAAAAAAAAATCCATCATATGCTGCCAAAGCTTCTTCCTACTGCAATTGTGACTTTCAGCTTGTCACTCTTTTGAGAGGGGAACACAATTTGCTTGTGTTTTGTATCTCAAAGAGGCTTAATACTGTTTTAAAAACATAGAAAACATCACTCCCCAAACCAGAAAACCACAGTCTCGTCCTCTTGCACAATGCAGCTTTGCTTCACTGTGCAAATTCATTCCCAGCCATTATATATAATAACAGTAGCAAATGATGGTGCCACTTTTAAGTCAAAATATATAGTATATAGGTCAATTTATCATATTGATCAAAAGCTCATCTTTTTAAAGCGATTACGACATTTGTAATCATTGAAAGAAAGGCTGCACTGAACAGGTTTCTTCTAGGGTCACTCTCAATCCCTCAGCCTACATATATCTTTATTTTTTTAACTCTCCGTTTCTATTAAGATTCACCAAGGCTATTATGAAAGGTGCCCAGTGTTTAGCATAGAAAAGAATACAGAATTAATGAACTCAGTTGCAGGTCTGGCCTTGAGCGCTTATGAAGAAAAAAACATGGACTGATTGTGCTAGACAGGGTGCACAGTTTTACTAGAACAAGGGAAGGGCAATAAAAATATCATCGCATTTGGATTTATACATAGAGCTCTTATAGTGTATATAGGCATATGGAGATTCTTCCTTTTAATGTCATGGCTATCAAAGACACACTACAACAGCATCAAGTAACCAGAAGAGCAAGAACCAGAACTTTATATCTACTTTGATATCCGAAGCAGTAAAGAGGGAGTAACGAAGAAGAAGAAGAGAAGAAGAAGAATGTCATGGTGGGAACACGTACACCCACTACACAAACACACATACACATTACATACATACATACATACATGCATACATATATACATACATACATACCTGTGTTTTCCAGAAAATAAGACCGGGTCTTATATTAATTTTTGCTCCAAAAGTTGCATTAGGGCTTATTTTCTGGTTAGGTCTTAGTTTTGGGAAAATATGGTACTAAATGCATCATCTGGCTGACAATCTTAACTGGGGCTTATTTTGGGGGTAGGGCTTATATTATGAGCATCCTGGAAAAATCATGCTAGGACTTGTTTTCCGGTTGGGTCTTATTTTCAGGGAAACAGGGTACATACATATATATATATACATACATACATACATACATACATACATACATACATACATACATACATACATATCTGCATACACAGAGAGAAAAAGCCACAGCAAGGTTGGCCTATTCCATTTGTGAAAATCACTATCAACATCCCTGTCCGTGATTTGTTATTAATTTCAGCAGGACTGTTGTAGGAAGAACGTCGGGAAGTATTGCATTTATTTTGATGTCTGAGATATTCTTCCATCTTTCCTTGAATCTGTTTGATCTTGAGTTGAAGTATCAGATATTATGTTTCTGATTAAGAAAGCAAACTTATCCTTAAGCAGAGAACAGCTGTGAAAATGCTTACTTACTGTTTTACCTTTTCACTAAAAATATAAATCATACATGTCTCAAGAGACAGTTACTGTCAACCCTTTTATCAATGGAACTAAAAAAAATAACCTATGTAAAAATGTGAACTTTGTATTATTTGACAACATGTGTTACCCTACAATTCCGTATATTTTTTCCAATGGACTAATAAAACTATTGAGAACTAACTTCCTTGATGAGGTGATTTATTTATTTATTTATTTATTTATTTAGTTAGTTAGTTAGTTAGTTAGTTAGTTAGTTAGTTAGTTAGTTAGTTATAACTATATATATTAAACTGTTATATATATTAAATGTTCAGTGTCACCTAGGAATTACTGATTGGGCTCATACATTGTTTGGCCTTAGTTTATTAAACAAGTTACAGATGGTTGGGTTCACAAAACACATTAAGCTATACATTAAATAAACAATGCTATGATTTAGACCAATTTGGTAACTGTCAGCACTTCAACCTGCATTTACTCTTGACTATTTGTTTGGAAATGCAATTTATTTTATTTGAGACGACATTGAAACCTGACAGTAACTTTATATTATGGAAGTTGGGGAAAGGAAATGCAAAGTTTTACAGTGATATTCTGGAAGCACCTTTGGGGGGGGGAGACAATTAGACTTCAATTCTGCAATAGAATTGAAGTAGCTTCTTGGATGAGAAGCGAAAAGTTTTCAAAGAAAAAAGCCAAGAAAACCAGTTGCCTTTTGGAAAAAGCACCTTTGGGACAGCCATAACCTGGCTGCAAAGTTTAACCTAAGAAACCTTTAAGAAGGTTTATTATTGCTATTGTTGTCTGCAAAACAGCTAGACACATGTACACAGCATATCCTGAAAACAGAGGGATGGGAGAAGAACCAGCAATTTATTTTTCCCTTTCCATTGGAAGTAGGGGCTGAGGGATATTGTTATTTTAAGAACTGCCATAACTTAGATATGGAACCCTAACAACAGGTTTTGTTTTCTCTCACCAATTAGCTGAAAGGAGCATTTCATGGCGCTTCATTAGTCTGAGGTAGACAGACAAGAAGCACAATTATGACCACTAACTCTGTTTTTATTGTAGGGTTACAAAAACAGAATCTTGCATGACTGTATTTTTTCCTTGCCCTCTTTTTACTCCCTGAAAAACTAGAGAGGGTTCCTTCTGACATCCTTCCCATGCCACCCCCTTCTCCCTGTGGACTGAGATGCCTTTTACATGACAATTGTTCACTCTGTGGCTCTCCCTCCTCTCTGCCAAGGTCATTCTCACATACCAGAATAACAGAATAACAGAATTGGAAGGGACGTTGGATGTTTCACTCCAAGGATAGAATAGAATAGAATAATAGAGTTGGAAGGGACCTTGGAGGTCTTCTAGTCCTACCCCCTGCTCAAGCAAGAAACTCTATACCATTTCAGACAAATTGTTGTCCAATCTCTTTTTAAAAACCTCCAATATTGGAACACCCACAACATCTGGAAACAAGTCCGTCCACTGATTAATTGTTCTATCTGTCAGGAAATTTTTTCCTTAGTTCTAGTTGGTTCTCTCCTTGATTAGTTGATTAGTTTCCATCAGCTATAGTGACAGCTGCCTTCAAAATATTCTAGAGGGACAAGCAAATAGAAATGTGACATGGGAAAATGCCCTCAGCTACAAATGTCATGGAAAATGTTAAACATCCCACTCTCCCCCCCCCCCCACAGCATCCTTTCCTGCATTAAAAAGTTAATCATAGCAGTCAATCTTATGGGACAGATTGCAGCTATTATTAAAACAAGGTATTTGAAATGTGTCAAAAAATAAATAAATAGAAGGATAAGAATGTTGGTAATTCTTGAAATGCTTCAAGAAATAATTCAGTAATTCTTCAAGAGGTAATTATATAAATGATTCTATCTCTCTTTTCCTAGGATGTACTTTAGAGCCATTATAGGAAATCTTAACCGTAAGACTGATCTTGCTCTTTTCATGGATGTCTTATTCACTGTAGTTTTTCCTCACTTCTGTCAAGAAGGCAACATAAGGGCAATAGCAAAATTGGGCTCTGTGACCTTTCCAGGGGAACTTTAATTAAAGACTGGGAAGAACAGAAATGTGACATTTTGAGTCTCCCGGTACAGTTCCATGAAGAACATTCACAGTGATGTCTGAGATAGTCACCATATTTCTCAGTTGCATTTTGATAGCATGATGTTTTGAAGTTAGATTGAAAAAATAATTTACATGAATTTTTAGAGAAAAAACCCTAAAGCTGTCAAGAACAGTGTTGTTCAGAAAAGAGCAGATGCATTTTCAACAGCAATGTTGTCAAGAATGAAAAGCCGTCTAGGATTTCAACATTTTGGCATGTTTGGTCAATACAAATTCTAAGACTTGGCAATCAGCTTTTCCCTTCTTCAATGTCCACAGTTGTGGGAGCAACATAAACGACTTTTATAGATACTTAAGGAGCAAGGTTGGTTTTTTGGTCACTAGGCTGAACTAAACAAAATTGATAGTGTTGCATTCTTTTATTGTTCCATTTGTCTGATCCATTTACATTTGTTATTGAACAGATTTGCTCTCCTGTCTTCCAAAAGGCATTGGGTACATTTGCACTGAGAGAATTTATTTGTGCATTGAGAGAAACGCATAAAAATAAGAATAGGCAAATAGATTAAAACCTCATTCAAACCAGATGCAGTAAATACTAGATTCAAATGTATGGCCAAAATAAAAGAAAGAAGTTGACCCATAATGTCATAAATGAGTCATAGAAAAAACTGACCTCAGCAATTGGCAGATGGTGAAGAAGCACTTCAACTGTCTGACAAGCTGCTTTTAGGAAAATTCATTCTTAGACAACAGAAATAGGTTAGAGTTAAGAGTTAGGGTTTATCAACAGATATTGCTGCCTAAGGTTGTATTTCCCTCAAGTTAAAGAACATAGTAATCAGGGCCAGCTAATTCATTGCAGCATGTGAATCCCTTGTCCAAAGGATATTTATCAATCCTGGTATAGTAGTAATAATACAATTTTAATTACATTTTTAATAATTAGTTCCCCTTCATGACACCACTCCAAGAAGTATGGATACAATAGATAGAATTACTAGGAAGATGATAGAATGCCAACCCTGTGACTTCTTAGCCCCCCTTAATCCATCTTTTACAATGGTTTTCTTCCCAGCTTGACTTACATGAATTATCAACACCCTACTGAGAATAAACAGCCTGCAGTAATATCTCATAGTGAGATAAAAGAGAGAGAGACAGAAAGGCTACCTTAGTTCTTCTTGTCTACATACACATGACTTACACATCAGTGGGAGACAGATGTGAATGTGAATAGTGACCCCATTAGCCAGAGGGTATCTTAACACCAGCATTCTAGTTGAGGGGAAACGGAAGGGACAAGAGCAGGCCTTCCTGTCACTCGAGTTAACAGTCTGAAAAGAGTCATCCAGCGTCACATAATATTGGCTGACTCCAAGCAGGAGGTCTTAGCATGGGCAGAACTCAGAGGTATGTTTTCCATCTGTATATATTGTTCAAAAATTTAAAAACTCACATTAATTAAGAGGTAAATGTAAGTAACACAACTAATATTACTATTAGCCACAGTAAGTTAGACAATTCAGACATATGAATTGTTGGGTGATGAAGGACAGAGATAAATAGAATAAAAGAAGAATATTTGTAGCCCAGGGCTGAAATGAGGGGGCTTTGGTGCTCTTTCAGCTTGGTTGTTTTCATGCAGACCTTTCATTACCCAAACTAGGTAACATCATCAGTTCAAGAACAGAACTATTCAAGTGCATCACCCATACGTGGGGGGGGGGGGGGGTTGGCCTTCCTGTGCACTGAAGATGTTGTACTATTCTCAGAGCTGACATATCATTCAGTTACCAATCTGAATTGGAAACAGAATAATGTCCTGGACTGATTAGGATTTATTTAGTAATAAAATAAAATACAATGAATGACTATCAGGTTAAAAAAGGGAAATAAAAAACAATAAAATGCAATGAAATTATAATACAAGTAAAGACTAAAACAGAAGAAAAGCCTAAAAAGAGAACTAGAATAGATAAGAACTTAACCACTGCGAGTTTTGATACTGTCAGAGGTATCAAATTTCTACCTGTCAATGAGATAGAGTTTTATCAATGAGGGATGTGAAGAAGGTAGTGTGGATGGTGTCATAGAAGCAGGGCCGGATTTTCCTATAGGCTAACTAGGCTTCAGCCTAGGGCCTCAAGATCAAGAGGGGCCTACACAGTGGTGGGATTCTGGGGGTTCTAGGGGGTTCGGCCGAGCCCTTTGTTAAATTGCTGGCTCGCCCGCCCCTCGCCTCCCACCCGCGCGGCGCCAGCCTACCGTAGCCAGGGGTAGGCAATTGTGGCTCTTTTACAACCTGTGGACTTCAACTTCCAGAATTCCTGAGACAGCTTGGCTGTCTGAGGAATTCTGGGAGTTGAAGGCCACAGGTTGTAAAAGAGCCACAATTGCCCACCCCTTCCCTAGCCTGAGTTCCGCTGCCTGGGATCCACGTGGGCTGCCACGTGATTCCCCACCGGCTCCGGACGCAAGAGAGCAGAATGAAGAAAGCCGCTTCCACGCCTTCACTCACCCTCACTCTCTGCTCTGTTGGATCGTCGGCTGTTCGCTTACCCTGCCCACTCCCCATCTATTGCTGCCTCCGATGGCTAGAGGAAAAAAAAACTTCAAATTCTTGCCGCTGCGGGGCTTCAAAGGGCCGCCCTAGAGCCAGTGGGCAGCCGAACCCTTTGTTAAATTGCTGGCTTGCCCCGCCCCTCCGCACCACTATTTATTGCCAATAAATAGTGGTGGGCGAGGGGCGGGGGAGCCAGCAATTTAACAAAGGGTTCGGTGGTTTTTTTGTAATTTTATTGGCCCCCGGAGCTTCAGCATAGGCTAATTAGCCCTTGCTTAGATCGGCTCCCGACCCCCAGATGATTTGCTCTCAGCTGTTTTGCTCACGGATCTGCTCCTTGCTTGCAAAGAGTGCTGATTTTTTCCCCCCTAGCTATACTGAAAAACGAAAGAGAAAGTAAAGCAGGCTGTTGGCTTTGCACGTTGGAAAATTAGGCAGGCAGATTTCTTTTTCCTCACCAAAAAAGGTAGGTGCAAACAACAGGAAATTTAGGGAAAAAGAGGAGATTTTAAAACACAAAAGAAAA